AGAAAATTTGTTCATTTTTAAAGATATTTTAGGTATGAATTTAATGATAATTCACTGATTATATCAATGAATACTATCCATACTTTGTCTGGAGTATAGGTATAAGTCTATGAGAAAAGTAAATCTTAAAAAGACTTAATATGTAATTAAGTTAACAATAAATAAAATGCTGTCTATAAGGTCTTTTCAGAAAAGTTTTAAAACTGGTTTGTGTCCAAAACAATTAGTGTTTCTTAGATTACTGATCTACTTTTCATAAAATTTTAAAAGGCCTAACTTGAAAAGAAAAAACTTAATGTTTTTTATTTAGTTTTTTTCAAGTTTTCTTTTAAAAAAGAATCAGAGCTCATTTAAATTTCTGTTTAAGCTGACATGATTTTAAAGACTTCCTAGCCGTAATTAAATGGGGCTATCACACACATAGCATACATGTGTACCTAGGTAATACCCATTTATGGCAATTGATGCTATTTAATAGAAATTATAAAAGCTATTTCAAAATAACTTTATCTAAAGGATTTTACAAGGTCAAATATTAATGCATGAAGTCTGGGGAGACAGTTCAGTAGGGAAAGTGCTTCCTAAACAAGCATAACACCCAGAGTTTAAATCTCTAGCACCTACCCCAAATTGGGAGCAGACAGGCAGATCCCAGGAGATACTGGCCAGCAAGCCTAGCCAAAATAGCTCAGTGGGAGACCCTGCCTTGAGACTACAGTAATGTAGTCAGCAATAGAGAAGGCTATCCATTATCCTACTCTAGGTAAGCACCCACACAATCAGCATCCAAGCATCTCTGTGCACATACCACACACACACACACACACACACACACACACAATTTAGTGCACTAATATAAAGCTAGAACTTAATTCTCTGTGTCTAAAGAAAAAAGGCACACGTTAAATGCATGTCCCTTCTGCTTACAAAAGCCTTCCAAGACACAATGCTTAGGAGAAAGCCGAGCTACTTTCTCCTTGCAGTGATAAGACACCATGAGCAAGGCTACTTCTGAAAGGGTTTATTGGGGGCTTGATTACAGTTTCAGAGGGTTAGATCCATGGCCATCATGGCATGGAGCATGGCAGCAGGCAGGCAGGCATGGATCAGTAGCTGTGAGTTTACATTCTCATACACAAATAGGGGACAGAGTGAAAGAAAGTATTTTCTTTTATTGGTTGTGTTTTATATTCAGCTTATGTAACTAGGTGGTCATTGCTTGTTAATTTTCTAAAGAAGCAGTTTCTAACAAAGGACCCTGACAAATCATCCTCCTCCCAGGATACTAGGATATCACCCCCAGGACAGACAGCATAAAATTCAAGAATGAACTTCAGATGGACTTGGCATAAGAGCCATCCCTTTTATACCTCTTAATTGATTAAAATTTATCCATAAAGGTTTTAATTAGCACTAATTCCTTGGCCTCTGTCAATTGTGCCTCATGATGTGGGACCATATCAGCCCATATAGGAAAGATCTTGTCACAATAATGAAGGAAAGTTGATATCGAACCAGATGACTAATCATCAATGTCTTCAAAGAAAATTGCTCAGAAGCAAGAAGGGGAATCATCAGCTCCAAATAAAGTCACACTGTGCAGGGGCCACAGAAGCAAGAAAGGGAGTTATTAGCTCTGAATAAACTCATACTGGGCAGGGGTTGCCTGCCTTTTGTTGAGAGACTGAAGCAGGGGGGTCTTGAATTTGAGGACAGTCAGGGCTTCATAGGAAGAACCTATCTCAAAAACAGCAACAAATATTGAATCACTTATACCAGCCTTTCCAAAGCAACTCGACCTGAGAAATTACAGCATTGTGGCTCTTTGGTCACATGGTCACATGGTCTCATGGTCACATGTGCTGTGACCTTGGCCCCTCCAATACTGCTTGTGATATTTGTTTCAGGAATAAAGGTATTTCAGAGATTATCACAAACCCAGCATATCACCCCAAATCCCTCAAAACTGAGGTCTGAAAACAAAGAGAACTGTCCCAATACTAGATGAGATATTTTAGAGCGATTTGTGCTGTTGGATGGCTGACACAATGGTTCCCGAAAAATTAAAAATCTCAAGGCTAAGGAACTACATTAGTCAATAAAGCGCTTGCCATGGAAGCATGAGGACTTGAGTTCCATTCCCACCATTCACATAAAAAGTACCCTTAAAATCCCAGTGCCTGGGAGGTGGGTCCCGGAGGTTTGCTGGCCAGTCAACCCAGCCTAATCAGTGAGACCCAGATCTCAGAGAGAAATGCTATCCTCAAATCCAAAGTATGTGGCTCATGAGCAACAATGTCTGAAGTTGACCTCTGACCTACACACACACACACACACACACACACACACACACAGGAGAGTTAAAATTCCCCTAGGAATTCCTGCTTGCAGCATGGAAAGGCTGAAACCCCACTTCAGAGAAGGAACTTGCCTCCAAGAAAGAGATGTCATGTGGTGCTACCAACTTCTCAGGGTCACCCTGAAGGACAGACCTGAGGCAAGCCAGTGACAGGTCAGTAATGAGGTAGGGTACTGCCCAGGACTGCTTTCCTATAAATCCTCCTTGTCTGTTATTAAACCTAAACTCATGGCAGTGTCCTACAGATGAATAATTTTTCTTCCTCTTCTCACTGCAGCTGAAATAATTGCCTCTCCTTCCTCCTCTTCTCACTCGTCCCTATCTCTTTAACTGGTGTACTGGATAGACAGCTCATGCCTTCCAGAGTCCAGGCTTTGACAATAAAACTGGGAATAACTGGGATCCCTTCATTTTTTTTCCTCTTCCTGATGTGGCCACATTGAATAAATCTCCTTTCTCTGCCTTTCAGGACTGCTTTTCTCTTTAACTGGAATTTGTTGGGGTTTCCCAAGTCTGGGCTTTAGCTGTAAAACTTCCAGTTACACTATTTCCTTTTGTGGTGTCGGGGACTAGATCTTCAGCTTGTGAATTTTGAGACTACATTCAATTCATCCTGTAATGGAAAACAGGGGGAAAAAAGAGTGGGCCCTAACTATTGGCCCAACTGCCGTGGCATTTCAGGAGGAAAGATCCCTCTTGGTGGCTGCACTACTAGCTGGAAACTGAATGTATCTCATAAACCCAGCATATGACTTTCTGTAGGCCAAAGGCAAAGGATGCCAGCAGCTCCCTGTGACTGCTTGTGGGATGTGCCTGGCATTTCTGAGGTCACAAACATGGTGCAGCAAGATGGACTGGGTGCCAGCACCTGTGAGGTGGCACTTACTCCTCCTAGGGTGTGGCATCATACCCAAGCTTTGCCACTAAACAGGCCTAGAAAACTCAGAAGAACAAAAAATGCAAACTTTGGTCTGCTCACCTTCAACAGCCTTTCAATACTCTCCCTTCTTATGGAAAAGACCTTGAAACAAAGAACAACTGCTGGGCACCAAGGTTGAGGAGACCCCCTCCCTGGAAGAGATTTCACACCATTCAGAGAGCTTCTCTCACAGTTAAATCAATATAGGCATTTCTTTCTATAAAATTGTAACATTGTCTTTTCTGTAAAACTGTAACATTGTTCCAGGAAAGGGGAGAGAATCTAAGAATTTTCTACCTCCAGTTCTGGTCAAACTATAAATAAATCAATTTTCCTTTGCCAATGTCTGCTCCCAAATTTCCTCTGAAATGCAGGGAAACCAATGAGCAGTTTATGAATTGAGTTGCCAGGTAAGCAGCGGAGGTCACACATAGCAGGCGGCCATGTGCATTACAGTTGCCACTGGACTAGAGCTTTTGTGTGCCCACCCCCATCCTCAGCACCCTAAGAAGCCAGCTGTGTCCTAACAGGGAGGCTCCATCTGCAGGGAAATGCAGAGCTGTTCTCTGTAAGCAACTAAGCAAGACCCAGAATCCCAGGAGAGTCAAGCTGGAAGGAAGCCCAGAGCCTCGAAGCCCCCTTAGCCACCAGTGCCAGTTTCGGTGGATGAAACTGGCTCAAAAACCGATAGCCAACTGGCACAGATCTCAACATCCTAACCCCAGACTAGGAGGCCCTCTCTGGAGCTCGATACTGACACACCTTGACAGTTAAAATGATTATTTAACCCATTTCAACCTAGTATTAAGTGCGAACAGTTGAAACCCGTTAGCTAAACCAAGTCCTCGAGATTTGATAACAGTCCAGTCAGACATTCAACATTAACAGACCTTGAGGAGCCTGCAGGACCCTCTGGGGGAGAGAATAGGATCTGCTCTAACCCATACTCTGGCCATCAGGAAAACATTTGTTAGAAATATTCAACAGATGACACTGGCACTCAAACCACAGGTACAATAAATAATAGCGGGAAACGGCAGCTTGGTGGCACAGGCTTCTACCCCTAGCACTCAAGGGGCCCAGGAGAAAGACTGCAAGTTCAGGGACATCTTAGGCTACAGAGAGAAACCCTTAGCATAAAGTGAAATAATGCCAAGGAAATGAATGAGAGAGGAACTTGGCCAGAAGACAGAGATGGGTCCCCGAGCCGCAGTTTGCCCTTCTGAAACAGAAGATCTGTCAATTTGAATTCTGCAACAGAAAAGGAAAGTAATATCTATAAAACCTTGTAGTCAGCATCATCGTGAGGCAAACACACAAGGTTTCTTCCAGGGTTGCCATACTTGCATCTGGCTTGTGGCTTTTCACATGCTATGACAGCAGTTGTTTTAAGAAGAGTCATCATTCATGAGATTTGTTTCTGTTCCCCCAAAGCCATGCAAGCATTATCCCCTCTATCAAGTCAGGCAATAAGTGATAGGTTCAGAAGCAGGTGAGGAACCTGGTGACTCCGAAGCCCCTGCCCTTGTCCCCTGCTCTGGATCCGGGCCCGATCTCTTCAGCAGTAAAAAGCAGCTTCCCCCAAACCCAGAAGCCTGGGAAGTCTGGGGATTGCAGCCCATCGCGAATCCTGTCAGACCCACTCAAGAGGGAGGACTTCCAGCAAGTGTCCCGAGGCTCTGGGAAAAACCATGAGGTGCAGCCAGCCTGCTCCACACTTACCTTGCCTTCTCCTGGGGTCTTTTGTGCCCCCTTAGAGGACTTGGAGGATGTGGACCCAGCCCCCTGTGCGCGCCGGGGCCTCAGGTCACTCAGGCTGCTGAGATACTTCTTGCGCAGGGCCAGCAGCTCCTGAAGATATTGCAGGCAGTCCTGGGTGCGCGAGTACATCCAGGCACGGTCCTCCTGCTGCAGGTAGTGCAGGCTGGTGTCCATGCTGTGGGTGCTTCTGTACTTCTTCAAAGACTCGCCGGACTTCTCGAAGTGGTCCCCAATCACGTACATGGAGCTACTACGAATCAGTCTGACAGTGGGGCTGGCTCCCGAGTAGTAGGGGCCCTCGGCTGCCGCCTTCCCTTGCGGGCTGTGGTGGAGGATGGAGTGGATCTTTCTGAGCATGGTGCTCCGTTTCCCTCCGTGGGAACCGTTGGCCGAGCGCACAGGTGTCACTTGATCCAGCTGCAGGCAGAGGAGCCCATTTCTAGGCCCTGCGCCACCTGCCTCCCAGGAGGCTCAGCTCTCACAATCCCAGCGAGAAACAGCTGTGTCAGGCGGGCAGCCTGCAAGTCTCTCATGGGGGACACTTATGTGGGACAACCAAGATGGCACGAGAGTGACTCCCTACAGGAGACAGTGCCCAGGCAAGCCTTTCGAGTCAGTTGTTGAAAATACGCCCTATGCTTTTCCATGGAAAGCTTCAGCTGGAGGGAAATAGTGGCAACATTCTACCTGCTTAGTCATTGTCTTTCCTTCGCGTTTTCCATCGTCGTGAGTGGTCTCGCCCGGCTTGATTTGATCTTCAAAAAGTTTTTACAGTTCTGCCAAAGCTGAGCTGGCCCTGGTGCTGAATTCTGTAGGTCCGAAATAAAAATCTTACTCTTCAGGGACACCCTCAGCCAAAACCCAGGTGTTGCTCTGGGTAAGATCCAGCCCCCCTTGTAGTCCAGGGTGGACACGACCAGGGCCCTTGGCAGGAGCTAGCAGATGCCCTGATAAACCCGGCCCTGAGCAGGCATCCGAGCGTCCTGGAGGAGGCTGGCCCTGCGTAAGAGGACCTCAGTGGTCACCCGATAGCAGGCCTTTGAGGACTGGAGGATTCAGGTATCTGGATCACGACTTTTTGCACAAATGCGTCAGTGAGCAGATCACATGCACTGGGGAAGATTCATTTCTCCTGGGTGCGTTTTTAACTCAGAACAAACCAAACCAAACCAATTCCTTCTCAAGAGCACTGAGTTATTAGCACCCCAGGGACCCCCACCCCCATCCCGGCCCCCAGTTTTCACAGTTCCATTGACTGTCACATTCATTTCTCTCTAGAGTTTATTTTCATTCAGGCTCGGGTCTGAATCCTGAATGTCTCTAGTGCAGGTTTTTCTTTGGGTGTAGGTTAGGATATTAGAGGACTTGTGAGCTAGATAATATATGTAAAGTATTGTTGCGTGTATCCACACACTTTGTTTTTGTTGTTTACTGGGTTTACTTCATTTTATTCCTGAAGTAGAAAGCATTTGTAGCTTTAAAAGGTAGAAAGAAAAACATTTTAAAAAGTTTATGTACTGCTTTTTAAATAATCATTCATTTTAAGCCGTTATAGAATACTACATGGAGGTGTTGTTTGTACTGGGCATCCTCTGTGAATGTGTTCTCCCAGGAAGGTTGAGGACAGAGTTCCTTGTGTGTGAAACTGTTTAAGCCTCCCCATTGCACAGGGATTTAAGGAAGATAGAGTATTTTCCAGTGAAGTAATTTATTTAGTATCTGTAGCTTTCTGGAGAGAGAAGCATGGTCTCAATCACAATCTTTAATGAACTTCTTCACAGGAAATCCCTCCCCTGCCCCGAGAGATTTATCTACCGTCTAAACAGTTCAGCTGAAAGTCCCATGTTCCCCTTTTAAAAGGCACCGAGATACGTCTCCCCTCGACTCTCTGTCTCTGCCTTCATTGGGGCACAGTGTGGGAGAGCCCATAGAGGACAGGTCTAGGGGCATCGCTTCTCAGAAGTTCTCATGACTGAGAAACTCAGCCTTCCTTAGGAGACAATGCCAGTGACTGGTGGCCATGTCTGCACTGCCTGGATCAAGAAGATGTGTGAAGAGATTTTAAAGACAGTATCTCCTTTCCAGAATGCAGCCTCACCTTTTGCTCACAGAGGGAATGAAACTGCCTTCCTCCACATGCCCCCTCTTCCTGCAAGCCTCTCTGCTGGATTCTTATCAAGGGCCAGACTTAGGGGGGACAGCTGGTAAGAGCTCTTGCACTGGAGCCTGACTACTTGAGTTCAACTCCAGGAAGTAGAGGGAGAGCACCAAGACCAACTCCCACATGCTTCTAATTCCACATGTACCTTGTGATATGCGTGCGCACACACACACACACACACACACACACACAGAGGCGTATTTATGCACACACAGTCAGATTTAAAACAGCTGGTCACATCACACCCACCCTCAAGAGTGGATAGGAACCAATGCATGCATGCTTAGTGTTCATTTTCCTCTGCTCTTTTACTGTCCAGGGCCCCAAACTAGGGAATGGCACATCCCACTTTCATGATGGGTCTTCCAAAGTCAATTAGGGCAATTGAGACAATTCTCCACAGACATGCTCACAGGCCTGATCTGGATAACCCCTAATGCAGACCCTGGCAATTAAAACTAACCATCATGGTCAGTATTTCATTGCCATAACAAAACAACTGAGATAAACAACTTGAGAAAAGAAAATTTTATTTTGGCTCACAGTCACAAAGATCTAGCTTTGTCAAAGCTCTACTTCTTTGGTCCTAAGTGAGACTAAATATCTAGGTAACAGGATGTGTGGAGAACAAGCATCTCACCATGGCAGCCAGGAAGTAAAGAAAGGCTCATGTCATGGACAAGACACACTTCAAAGGCCCCCTCCAACTCAGCCCCCCTCCTAATTGTGCCTCTTGCTCAAAAAACGACATCAAATTATAAAGTCATTAGTGAATTAACCTTTCTATGAGGTCACAGCCTCTGTGACCTTGCAGCCCTCCCAAGCCTCTGTTCTCAAAAATTAAGCCTTCCATACATGAGCCTCTTGGGGCAACACTTCCTACTCAAACCATGTCAATAACACATTTCTCTCCCTGCCTCTGCTTCCCTTCCCACCATAGTTTATTATCCATCTTTGTAGATTCAACTTTCAAGTTCCACATAGATGTGTGATTATGAGATAGTTTTCAATCTGTCTTAAGGCTGTGTATGGTGTGGCAAGTGGCAGGATCTTCTATTCTGGGATGGAATAATATCCCACTGTGTACCTGTAACAGTTTCTTTTTCCGCTCATTGATCCTCAGATACTTTGACTGTTTTTACATCCTGGTTGCTGTGGCAGTATGCAGAGATATAAGATGAGTCCTGAGATTGAGTGTGCACCACATGAAAACTATAGTTAATAATGCTGTGTTTTATTAGGATCCCACACACAAAGAATAGGGTTTAGGTTCTCTTGTCCAGAAAGATGGGGGTTGGTCCTGATAGATCACAAGCATGTTAGATGTATGTTGTGCATTTGAAACATACACAATAAAAAATAAACAAAAAGCAACAAAATGAGATAATATAAAGAGAGTACTAACTGCCCTATTTCCCTCATCAAAAATGACATTTTAATAGTATAAAATGTCACCTTGGTTTCTATTTCCCAACCCTTGCCAGTTACCAGGCTCCCTTCCCAGATAAATGTTTGGATTCAGTTGAACTCAAAAAGCCTGCCAAGGTTTGATATTTATAGAGGTCCACGTCCTGACTGAGTCCCTAAGTAACAATCAGATGGGATAGCTAGGTTCTCCCACTACCTTGAGGAGGGTCTATTTCTTAGATGCCAGTTGGCTGGCCTGTCTGGAGCAGCCAGATGCTCACAGGCCACCTGCCCTGCACCTTTCCCTTTCTGGCAGGGTTCCAATGGGCACCCACCCCCTTCCCTACAACCAGGTGCACAGCTGCCATTGTGGAACAGCCTGGAACCTCATTGGGATGCCCATCTCAATTAAGGGGCCACAGGCCAGTATCTGCACTTCCTGAAGAGAGTGCTGACTGAAGCAACAACCACAAACTGTTCCAAGTGGCAAGACTGGGAATCCCTGTCACCCTGTTCCTGAGTCAGCTCCGTGCTTCCCAGAGGTGAATAAGATGTTGGAGCAGAGCAGTTGAGGGGCCAGAGGAAGAGTGTGGAGACGAAGGGGATGCTGAGAGAAGGAAGCGATCCAATTCCTCTACTGAATAGTTGATGAAGGATACGATTACAAAGTCCGACAACATGGATCCCATGTCATGGTGGTCCATTTGCACAGCTCACTGGAACATTCCACTTTCTGATTGTGCTGAATGGCAAGGAAAAGAATTCTCCCTGTAGACAGCTTCCCTGGCTCAGAAAACAATGCTGTTTGCTTAATTAAATCTTTGACCAAATAAAGTGAAAATCGTCTTTATCCGATGCAACCTGTCCCCAGAACAGGGCATGTATAAGCCTCCCTGAGCACCTCCTCCACTCTCAGTGACTGAAAGCAGGGCAGTAGGTGGCTTCATCATCCTGCTTCCTGACATTCGTGGAGACCCGGAACACATGCATAAGAGCAAGCATTGGCTCCCTGAGGTTCACGAGACAGCAAAGGTCAGTGACCAAGGCCCCAGAGGGCTGACAGCAAGAAGGCACAGACCCTATGTGAGAACGCTATAGAGAACAGTACAGTAGAATGTAGTAGTTTGACGAAGCAAGATTTAAGAGAGATCTGTTTATGTGTGAGTCGATGAAGAATATGTCCCCATTATGCATGGAAGGCTTCCTTTCATCCCCAAAGAAGAGCAATGAATGAAACTAGAGATGGTAAATATTTAACAAAATGAGTCAACTCCAAAAGCAATAGTGAAAGGTTCAGGCATTACACTGGCCTGCCCTGTTACCTGGCAGGATGCACTCAGGCAGCACTCTGGCCAGCCCAGAGTTCTGTGAGAACCACGCAGGAGCAAAGGACCCCTTTAAAGGACTGACCCCTGCCTGCTTACGCTCTTTTTTACTTTCTCTCTCTTAGTCTCATCATCTCATTCTCTCTTACTCTCCTCTCTCTTACTCTGTCGTTCTCTCTATCTCATCCTCTCTCATCTCTCTCTCTGTCATGTCTGTCTCCCCTCTTTTGGTCTCGCTATAATAAACTATGGTTAATATGATCTCCATGGCTTGTGCTCCGTCCATCACGCCGGTCCTTATTCCACATTTAACAGCAAATAGTCCCATGTTTTCTCTCATTGCCAGAACCTGATTTTGTTTTTGTTTGGTTTTGTTTTTCCTAGACAATGTTTCTCTGTCTGAAAGCTGTTCTGGAACTAGCTCTGTAGACCAGGCTAGCCTAGAACACATAGAGATCCTCCTG